TGACATGCTAAACGTAAGATTGTTCCCAAATGCACTTTTTCTTTCTTGGGATTATGAAGCTTTTCAGTATGTCGAAAGGAACTTTTGCAATTGCTGACAGGGATGGGCGATATGCTATCGGGAGGGAGCACGTTTTACCACATCTAATCATGCAGAATCCTTCCACAACATTTTCAAACATACCATGCTGGAAGGGAAACAGAACAATGGGCTCGACCACGTCATTTGTGCATTGCTAAAGCACCAACAAAACCGGCATCTGCAGCTTTTTTCATGGGTGGGCTGAAGTTAATTAACGTGAATAATATACACTTTATGAACTTCATTCTGTGCGTGGGGGGAGACGGCCAGTAAACGTTGGAAGAAACATCGCGAAACACAAAGAGGATCTGATAGCATTCAAAAACAACCCTGAACGGTCATCGATCAGTCGTCTATAATACTTCAGGGTAGCATCATCCAAAAAACCGAAAATATTTGGGAAGTTCAGTCAAAAGCAAACAACAACCCTTTTACGGTCACGGTCGCTCAAGCCTGTGACTGCGATGATAAAGTGAGTCAGCTCTGGACACTTATGGTATGCATGTACTATATATTTGCAGCTTAACTCCCACTGTGGTAGGCGTGGAGTATGCGCATACCAAGTCGTATGCAAGTGTGGAGGGCTACAGAAACGGAGTATCGTACCTACCAGCATGCTTACGCTGTTATCACGTCCGCAGAACAACCTACTGGTATGTTAATGTTCGATGTAGTCGACAGGCTTGCTTTCAGCGCAAGCCCTCCTCCGGTCTCGGAGCAGTAATCACGCTGAGCGGACTCCGGGACGTGGACTGGACTCAGGCGACAATTCGGTCGATCGGTGCTACGATCTCCCTCAGCAAGGTCATAAGGCCGAATCTGTACTGCAGCAAGATGCAACATAAAATGCCTATGAAATGGTCGAAGAAGTAAGCTGCTACCTAGCTATTTTCAAAGCATTACATATGCGCATTACAGGT